GCTAGAAATTGAGGGAGCCTTCTGATCAACAGCCAGCAAGGAACTACGCTTTCAGTATAACAGCTCATGAGGAAACAAATACTGTCAACAGCCACATGAGTGAGTTTAGAAGTGAATCCTCTCCCAGATGAACCTGAGAGGACTGCAGCCTGGTTGACAACTTCATTGCAGCCTTGTGAGAAACCCTGAGTCAGACAACCCAACTAAGCCACCCTCATATTTTTGACCCACAGAGCTGGGAGATTATAAATATTTATTGTTTTAAGGCTGTAAGTTTGGGAGTAATTTGTTTTACAGCTACAGGTAACTAATACAGCCCCACTAGTCTTTGGGCACTTTTATTTCTTTTACTAGTGCAACAAGATTTCTGATTCTACTTTGTATTTTCCCTGACTTATACCTGGAATAAGCATTTCTCCAAGTTTCTCTGGTTTCTTTTAGTGGAGAATGGTGCTTAGAATAAAAGACCTGGGCACAAAATGTGCTCATTGTTACAGCGATGTCATTGTTTCTACATCCACACAGTGTATAGAGCTAGAAAACACATATAAAAAGCCTCAAGCTCATAGTGATACTTCCAATTCACATTTAATATTACATGGCTTTTTCTTACCTTCCTGAATTATACATTGTATCACTTTTCTCTTATAGTGAAAATCTTGATTCCTTACCTTAACAGCAGAGGGTTAACATTACAAGGAAGTGGAGTAGTGGGTGTCACAATTTTAGAAATGACAGTATGTGCTCTGGCTTTCTGGAATGTCTTCCTTTTATAGGGCCTTCATTTCTACCACTTGAGATTTATTTGTTTGACTTTTGAGGGCTTTTTGAATATTAGAGTTCTCTTGTCAAAATTTTTTAGAATTATTTTCCAACTTAGAAAAATGATCCCAAAAGAACAGAGTAAAAAAATTGGAAAGAAATACAGAAAAATATAAGTAAAAAATTCTTAGTGGTAAACTTGTGGAAATTTTTTATTTGCTTACTTTAACAAAAAACATATATTGAGCCTCTGAGATGTGCTGTTTACTATTTAAGGCTCTGGGGTTCAAAGTTTCTGTTTCTGGCTAGAAGGACTTATGTTCTGGGAGGGAGTCATATAAATGTGTCAATATGATTGGTAAGTGGTAACACAGAGATACACAGCACTTTCTCATGTAAAATGTTGTCTAAAGAACATACACTATTTCAGTAATAAGAAAACATAAAAATTTGTTTTAAAGGGAGTAAAAGATCAAAGGGAGATGAAAACAGAAGACTTTCTTGAATTGGAAAAAATGTCAAAGGCAAACTAGAATATTTCACAATTTTCATTAAATTCTGGTGAATTTAACAAGATGATTTCTCAAATAAACACTTCTTGTTTCAAATTAAACTAAATTTTTACTCTGCACTTTGATCAAAAGTAGCCTGCATGTTTGTAGCTAACTGTCATGTTGTTGATTAAAGAATATGAAAAAAATATCAAATAATCTACTAATTTTGTAATTTCCTTAGATGGTTAAGTGCTACCTTTATTTGTCTGTTTTTCTAAAAATTATTATTTTTTAAAATTTTGTATCTCTGCTTTAGCTAATTTCTCAGATGAAGCCTTTTAAAAATTTGCACAACTGTAATTCATGCTCAGGCTGCTGAAGAGCAAGAGTCAGACCATTATTGCATTAATCTGTTTAGTAAACTTCATAGAAAGCCTCGGAGAAAGGAGAGAAGTGGGCAGAGAAGCAGAAAAGGAAGGCAACTAAAGTGGCATTTACATCTTTAACTTTCATTGTCTTTGGCAATTTTGTTTAAACTTATCCATTTCAGTTTCTTTTATTTATTTATTATTGTTCATATTGGCTGAATTGATGATAATCCTTATGGAGGCATAAAACATGCTATAAAATGAGTTAGGTAGAAAATCAATCAAGGCTGACATTTTAAACCTGTTTGGTAATAAACATGCACAGCCGCAAAACTTTCATTAGTGTCAGAGACATTAATTATGGGGAAGTGCAGTGTATTTACAGATGATAGCTACCCATACTTTATGAAGTTCATGCTAGGCCAGTGACACATCAGGCTTTGCAGAGGCTAACCATGTATGAATGGATGAGAGAAAGCCACTGAGGATGGATTCTTATGGGTCATTTACTTTATAAAAATCTTTACTAAAAATGTAATTTACTAAGCTCTTTTTTTTTTCTTTTTAAGTTCTATTTTTAGCTCATGAGCGTTGCCATTGGAACAATGAATGTTCAGATGAACGTTCTCCTACTTTCAGAGGAGATATTTCTGGTTTGCAAAGCTGAAATGGAAATCAGAAATTGCTACCTACTGGTTGCCTTAGGTATACCACAGATACAGAGAATGATAAGACAAAACCCCTGCTTTCAAGCAATTCTCAACTTAAGCCCACTTGAATCATTACTTGGACACAGACATCTATATTAGGAGTGTTTTATAAAGAAATGTCAACCAGTGAGGACCATGGGATATCACTGGAAATACGCAGTTAAGAAAATACCTTATGGACAATGTGAGCTCTTCTGTCCTTTGTAACACTTGAAACAAAATGAATTTATGTAGTTTCTGTCTTGCTTTTGTGTGATAGATAACAGTGAGGTACAGGCTGTGAGGAACTAGCCTGGTTCCAAGGCCTTGTAAACAACAATCAATTTGATGGAGGTGTCCACGAAAAGTGGTTGTGAGTCATGGTTAAGTGATTGTGACACATCTGAAAGGCAAAATTTTGTCACAGAAAAGAAGAGCTCTCTGGATAGATGGTTACATATAGTTTTGTAAAGACACCTGGAAACTCTGATCTGAGAGAGACCACATCACAGAGAAACTGTTATTGTCTGAGAGCACACTGGTGATAAAAACCTTTAAACTCATATCCTAACTAAATCTTATATATGCTTAAATTGCCACCTGTTTTGTGATCACTGGAATAAACAGTTTAATATGCGCCTATGAAGTATTATGCCAGACATAAGGATAAGTAGATATTCTAGAAATCCTTGGAAAGGATTATTTGATATCTGATATTTGATTTTAAGTTTATTTTTAATATTCAGTGAAAGTATGATAACGTCAATAAATTTCACTGAAGATTTTCACGTTGTAATTCCATTGTCCTTGCATAAGACTATAAAAATGATGGAAGTTAAAAAAAAAAAGGTATTTAAGAAAGTTGGAAGGAAAGATCCTCATGTATTTGACACAGAGTGTAGCATTCTCCATGATCTAGCTTCTGACTTTCCTTTTGAATTCTGCCATGTCCCAGTATACATTTTTTTCTTCTTTATTCATCCAAACCAATCCATTAGCAAGAGTTCCCTAATGTTCTAATTTTTCCTCTTTGCTGTACATGTTGTCACCTCACTTGTCCCTTGTGTGCTTTTTATTAATATCTGCAATAGACTAGAGGATATTACCAGAAGGAAAATTATATTGCTGTTGATCAAGTTCATTTCAGGAGACACCAGTTTCTTTTTCCTTCTGGCCCTGTTACTTTTTTGGCCCATACTTCTCGGGGCCTTTTTGACTCATCTCTCTTGTGATGGGTGGGTTCTCTAGGAAGTAGAAATGGAGACTGAATAGAAGTGCAAAAGGGGAAGGCGGGGGGGGGGGGGGTATGGAGGCAGAATTGAACAAGGGGAAGCCGTCAGACTGTGATGTTGACCTGATGACGCCCAATAGGGAGGTCTAGAGCAATGACTGCCTGGTACAGGGTTCCCACACTGGGTGGAAATAGCTAGCCCCTGTATCACTCTCTTGTTCAGCCACTGGCTAGCCCCCCTCCACCCTCAGAAAAGAGTAACCTAGTTAGTTGGAAAGCTGGGACAGACCCTGATATAGTTGATGGCTGGAGGCTGTCAGTCTCACACATGACTTGCAGCTAGATGGCCTGACCCTTCTTGAAGAGGAACATCCTGCCCCCCGGGATCCCAGTTCCATGCCTGAGATGCAGCAAAATCCTCGACACCCCCAATTTCTGGTTCCCACAGGGGGTTATTTTCCTCCTCTATGTATTGGGAAGGGGTCTTAGATTTTTCAGATTTAAGATAGTAAAAATAAATAATCCTTTCTCTAGCTGATTTTAAAGAACCCCTCATATCATGACTGTGTTTCCAAATTTGAAGACTCCATCTCTTTACTGTATCTCCTTGGTCTCTAACATACCGGGAGAAGAAAAAAAGAGATGAGGGAGAAGAATCAATCAGATGAAAGGTGACCTTCTTCGTGAAAGTCTTTCCAACACCTTCCTCTAGGCTGAATTCACTATTTTTCGACTATACTTGCACATATGCTGTAAATATCTCAGTTACAGCACTTAGCACACTGTATTCTCATAGTCGACTTTCTTGTCTGTCTCTTCATTAGCCTGGACACTTGTCAAGGGCAAGAATATTCCTTGTCTGTCTGCTTGTCTCTAACACTTAAGTTTGTAATAGATACTTCAGTGTAGATTGATGTAAATAGATTTAAACTCTGTGCTGGGACTGTAGTGACAAACCCACTGTGATATAAAGTTATATTTTAAGTGTTTTCATTAGAGATTTCTAAACCATTGAAAAAAATATACTCAGTACTCAATCAACACTTTATAAAATATTTATAGTACACACATATTATTACAAAATTTAGAAAACACTGAACAGTTTTTTAGAAAAAGTAAAGCTTTTATAATTGTACTACCTAAGTATACTCAATATTTTACTTCCTTTGAGATTTTTAATTTGATTTAGAATTTTTATTAGTTGACATGTACGAGTACCCATACATTTACACCTAATATTATAACATTTACCATGTCATTTTAATATTTTTCAAAAATTATTTAATTATTTTTCTATTATTAGAAGTTAGGTTGTTTCTAATATTTGCTTTGATGTATATCCTGTCATGAACTTTCTTCAATATAAATCTTTATTCTCATCTCTGAGACTCTTTCTTTTAGGTTAAACAGCAGTACGTTTACTCATCTTTGTTCATGTTGTCTAATTATTTTCCAGAGAGTTTACACCAGTTTATCCCACCAGCTGAGTGTGAGAGACCCTTCTCACAACACTCTTGGTAGCACTATTGACTTAAGAAAAGGACAATTGGACAACACAGTCAAGGCCTTCTCTCCATTTTAGTCGGTATGTCTATTTATTAATAACTTAAATATTTTATTAACCATTTATATGTCATCTGTGAATTTTCTCTTCATATTCTTTGTCCATTTTCAAAAGTTTTAGAGTCCTTTTTACAAATTGAGTGAGTCTTTAATATTGCAAATATTATTAAATGCCTGCCATTAATATAAATAATTCTCTCAGTTTGAATTATCTTATAATTTTATGAGGTTTTGCCTTTCAGAGGGCTTCAAATTCTATATAGGTAAGTTTAACAACATTTCCCAATGATGTTTTCATTTGTGTCTACGTTTAGAAAGTGCTTATCTATTCTGAGATCGGTTTAATAGTTGTATTTCTGTCTTCTGCTTTCATTTTTAAATGAAATTTATATTAGTGAATGACAGTTTGAAATTGTGATCCAACTTAATCTGTTCCTCAAAAGTATAATTTCCCCCAAATCTTTGGATAATTCCCCCATGTGCATTAGTTTGCAATGCTTCTTTTTCATCTGTTATGATCTTTTTTATTTTATTGGTTTTAAGGTAGTCTCTAATCTTTTGTTGATTTGTTTTCCCATTCTTCAAACAATATTTACGAATGTTTTATGGATGCTTGAAAAGAAGACATATTTCCTGTTAGTGGGAGACATACATACATGCATCCATATATTCAGCGTTTGTTTCAGGTCAATACAAACTACCTTTAGAAGCCAGGTAAGTTATACGAATGTGCTCAAAGGCCAGATGTCATTCATTAGGGTTTGGTGCAGATGAGGTGGCAGGGAGAGCACATACCAAGACATAAACTCAAATATTAAAAAAAATAATAATTGTACTGATACACTTCCTCAGCCTCAGCTTTGTCTATAGAATAAACTTGGCTTATCGTCTCTTCATTTGCATACTCTGGCATGCTTAATTGTATTGGATAGGGGCGGTTTATTTAAACCAAAACAAAACAGTTGTCATTGTTTTGCTTCCTGAGAGGAGGCAAGAACGATGTATATGTTTTATTGGGAAAAGAGATTGGAGTGGGAGAGAAAGAAAAGACTGAACTTTCAAAGCTTCTATTAATTTTTCTATGTTTAACTCAAGCCATTGGGTCATTTGCTTATCAGAGCATATGATCTAACCACTGGACTTTTGGAAAGCTAAGTTACTGTGCAAATAAATAGTAGTGAGTTTGGGGGGTGGTAACTTGGGTGAGTGGAGGGAGAAATTAGAGCGAGACCTTGTCTTTGTGGAGAAGTAAGATGAAGCAAAGTTTGCAACAATATGTATTTAATTTTAAATAATATTTTAAAAATAAGTAGACTTTTATCTGAAGGGGAAAATGCTTACATTAAAATAAAACAAAATCTGTAGAACTCTAAGTACAAGTAAAGTGAAATCAGATAAGCCAGTTAGCACCAACTTGTGTCTGTCCTAGAAAATAAGTGTTTGGTTCTTTGCACTGTTTCATTCCACAGTATACAATATCTTTTACACAAAACTGGAAACAAATCTACTAACAGTAAAGTTATCACAAAGGAATGATTATATAGGTGCCAGATGAGATAGCCTAGGACCACTTACATGATATTAAGACATGCCAAGGAAAGGACTTGGAGGTAAAGGCTTGATCTCCCATGCCAGAGGATGGCCACAGGATAGGGTGAGTAACTCACACAGAAGATCTCCATGAGGGATGCGCTCATTCAGTGCCTTTCACACGAAGAGGCCATCAGCAACAGCCTGTAGGTATTAACCAGAAAAGTAGCATAAACCAGCATGAACCGACAGGGAGTCCTGTCACAGTGTGGGAACACTGAAGGGGAATTGGGGTGGAGAGAAAAAAGGAAATAAAAGAAAAAGGTTTTGTTTTAGTTTGTTTCTGTTTTGTGTAAATCTAAAAAAGCACAATTTAAGGGGTGAATTAAGGGGTGAATCTCAACTGGGTGGAGAATAAACATGAAAAGCTTTATTTTTCTCTAATCAGCACTTTTAATGTTTATTAACTCTTCCATTTCATTCTTTAAGGATGTTACAGACAGATTCCATAACCTTTGGACACCTTAGATTTAAAAAACTCAACCCAATCAAGTTTAAAATTTCCCTCATACTTGGTCTAAAGCTTTTCCATTCCAAATCACCTCTTGAAATCATGATTCAAGGGTCTTTAAGTGGAGAGGTTAACATTGCACTCCCTTACTAGACTCCAACTCCTGTGTTTGGGGACAAGAAGAAAGGGTTGGCTGAAAAGTCGACCTGTTTTAATTGGGCATAGTTATGCTTCTTCCTTTGTTGGTTTGTGCTGTTTTATGCTGTCCCTCTGGGTGATCCTAACAGGCTGCTGATGGTGGTCTATTTGTGTGAAAGGCATTGAAAGAATTGATCTCTCAGGGAGTGGCATGGGTGAGTTCTTTGCCCTATACTGTGAGATCTCCCTGTGACTCATTTCTCTGGCAAGGGGCATCTTCTTTGGCACAAGCACTTCTAATTCCTTCTGCTCAGTTTTCATCTACAGTGGTATATCACACAGCCTCCCTGTTCTGGAGTCCCTTAGCCTAGAGGGTAGCCCTCTTGGATGGGGCACTGGCAAAAAGATCTCAAGATTGGCTCCTTTTCTGGTGTTCTCTGGACCTATGAGAAACTCACACACCCTTAGCAGAGCAAATGATAAGAGTCTTGACTTCTCCATTGTCATCCTCTTCCTTAGCCTACCATCACCTCTCTTTAATTCACAGGGACAGGTCAGCAAGTCTTAGCAGATAGTCATTCTCCAACTAAAAGACCAGTTGCTCCTCTTGGAGGGACTAAAAAATTCTATTTGACAATCTCTAAGAGAATCTCCTCCTGCCATCTTGACTTGAAGGCTAGGAAAGTAATTTTCCATGAATACTAACTGTATTCCCCGCAAGCCCAATGACTTCAAAACCTGCTCTTCTCTACCTCCAGTCGTCTCCGTATACTGGTGGTTGGGGGTGGGGGAGCATGGAAGGGGGATGGGCCTGGATGGGAGTTATAGCCTCTTTTCTTCTGCTTTTCATTAGATCTTGTGAGAGATATTGATCCCCAGAGCCTCTCTTTAGAATGTGGTTTAATAGCCCCTCTTTGTCCTGGAGTCTGAACTCTAGTCAGGTCAGTATAATGAACAAATTAAGTTAATATAAAGTTGCATGTCCATGTTGCTTGAATTGTTCTACTCAGTATTGTTGCATGGGGGAAAATTACGGACTAGAACAGGCAAAGTGTCATGTTCCTGTGGTCTGTGTGGAATCCAAGCAGTGAGATCATCATGTTGCTTGGTGTCCTCTCCCTGTCCTTATTACTGCCCTGGAGGGTTAGGCTGGTTCATGTGGAAGGGAATCAAAAGACTTGAATCTTTATTTGCACATCAAACACAAAGTTTTATAGAATGTATGTAGTATTGTGCTGGTAAACTGGTCTCCCAAACAAACAAAAATCCCCCATCCCTACCCCAACCCCAAACCAAACCAAAAGCACTGATATGTGTAGTGTTGGATGACTTCAGGGTGTAAATATCCACTATGCAGATTTCAGCCTACTGATGTGAAGTCACTGCATGGGGAGTAGGAAGGAGATTCACGTAATCAGCTCTGGTAATAAGGTACAAGCTGGCTGCAGTGCATATTGACTCTATGTTTGTTTGGCACGGCTCTACGGAGTCTGATAGAAATTACAGTAACCCTTCTGATATGTTCTACCCAAGCTATCTGTTGGAGCTCTTGCTAATTAAAAAAAAAATGAGTAAAAGTTATTTTCTGAGATGAGGCAAAATGGAATGGACTTGAAAACAGAGCAATAGGAAAATGTTAGGGCAGTTTTCTTGGGGGGAAGCAGAGCTAGGTAACAAGGCAAGAAGCTAGATTTCCCAGAAAAATGGGTGATATTTATGGTAGTGGAGTAACCAAACACTAACAACTTTTAAGAACAGACTGCCTAGTATGTGTTAGTAGTTTTCTTGTCACTGACCCAAACTTTCAGTTAGGTTGACTATAAACAAAAAAGGCCTTTATGAGCTGTTGTTAGATAAATGAATAAAAGGGTCTGTGTCCCACTTCTGGACCTATGCACGGTGGATAAAGGAGAACTAGACAGGAGGCAAGAATCTAATGAGGTTCAGAGGGCAGGAACAAGACTAGAGGGAATCCTGAGAAGGAAAGACATGGGGTTTCCTAGAAGCCTTGGGGAGGCCATTGAACCTTTGCCTGACATGTAATGGGAGCATTTGCCAGTTTTATTTTTGACAGAAAGATGGCCTTAGTTGACATCTGGATGTTATTTATTCTATTATTAAAAATAATTATAAATTTATTTTTGTTTATTTGCTCTGGCAAAGGTTGTAATTTATTACTATAATTGTGTTTCTGTTATTTCCTCATATATTTAACAGTCCTGTTTTATATATGGTTTTGTTATACTATTTGAGGCATCAGAATTCATGGCTGTTAAAATGTTTTTGTGTAAATTTTATTAGGTAAAATTTCTTTTTGCTTACCCAAGAACATGGTGTGCTTTTTCATTTGTTCAGATCTCTTTTAGTATCTCTCAGGCAGTTAAAAAGTATTTCTTTGTAGATCTTAATATTTCTTCTTAAACATTCCTAGGTATGACAGAGACTTGTAGTTGTCCCCTAATGTCATTTCTCCCCTTCTTTGTCTGCAGTGGAAGCCCTGAATTTTAGCTGGCACTTGGCCGCCCGGAATGAAGTCTTTATTTTATAGCTTCCCTTGTAGGTTTTGCACAGTGGGATACAAATGGAGGTGGTATGTGCAGTTTTGAGGAGTGTTCTTTAAAGGAGAAGACATGTTCTTCACTCTCCTCTTTCTTTTGGTGAGAATGGGACACTATGGCTGGAGCAGAAAGCTGGAAGGAGCCAGGACGCTTAGGGATCTGTGGAAGTGCTATTCTAGTCTTGGGCTCCTGACCAGTGGAATTTTCATATGAAAAAATAACCACTTGTGTATCTAAGCCCTGTTTATTTGGGTTTTATGTTGCATGTAGCTGGGCCTAATACTA